AAAAACCGAAACCGGAACGAAACCGAAACCAAAACCGAAATAAATGTTGAAGAACGAAACCAAAACCGAAACCCAAACCGGAACGTTATTTTGAATCGGTTTCATTCCTTGAAATTTACACATACGTAGCTTCCGCTCCATTGGCACCACCTTATGCCGATGAGCCGGAAGAGATGTAATTACCCCCACCCACATTAATGGAAATATTATTCTCACTGCCGCCCACCAGTGCGACCGCCGAAAGCTCGTTGGCCTTATGTGTCGGCGAATGATTTGGCGTTGAGTTGCTGCTCTTTGGTTTGCGGAACCAATTACCAAGGCGGCGACGTCCCAGCGAACCCGTCTGACACTCACTCACCGTGCCGCTACTGCCGCCTGTCTCGCGTGTATGCGATTTCTTCGGCAGCGTATCACTGTATTTTACTGGCGATTCAGGCAATGAACTATCACCACTCGTCGCCGATGTACCGCCTCCGGCATTCGCATTGCTCACATCCGCCATGGACCAATGTCGCGTTGCGCCAACTAAACCACCACCACCTACAGTGACACCGCCGCCTCCGCCACCGCCACTGCTATTGCTGTGTTCACAATCGGGCAACTCATAGTCGGATTGATCGGAGTAGTCACGCTCATCGTAGGCATACTCGAAGCCGGTCATTTCCGAAACGTAGAATGCCTTGCCGCCGAATTGCCGCTCCAGCGCCAAGGTGCTGAGGAAACGGTGCTTGCGATTTGCCGAGCGAAAACTGAAGTCGAACCACTTGTCACGCGCTTCGCAATAGATACGCAGTGAATTTCTTATATTGTGTCCAAACATTTTGCCATCGCGCACATTTACCACGCGACAGCGATCAAGAAAGATGCGTCCCTTGTAGATGAATTGGCTGCGTTTAATGATGTCGCGCTTGCAATAGATTAACTGGTTGTCGAAGAGAAATAGCGTACAGCTGCTGTTCCAGAGATTTTGCTTCTGCCGTGTAGCATCGATTTGCAAGAAGAAACGTGTACTGTGCAGATGAAGTGGCGGGCCTTTGAAGTTCTGGAAACTGGCTTGGTGACGTGCAATCGTTTCGCTGTGACGCTTGCCTGTGAGAATGTAAACGAAAAACTTCATTTTAGTATTTATTAAAATAATTCTTATCGGCGTTTAATACCTTCATTGACCGCTTCAGTAATGCCGCGCATTGCCTCCAAGGCTAAGTCGATTTTTTCATATGTATCAGGTATGTCCATTTGGCTTACATCAAATTGCTCATACTGCCCCAATTCATATTCTGGCGGTTCGCCGCGCTTGGCTGCGCCTTTCAGAATTTCACTGAGATGCAGCGGATAGCGACAGATACGTTGGACAGGCGCCAAGAGGTGCGCCGAGAGGGGCAGTTCAGCAAGGTTCTCCGATTCGCGACAACTGAAAACAGAACGGAAAATTCATTTAGATGCACATAAAGTTAAAATTGAACAAATATAAAAGTGCTCATACAGCAAAAGGATATTTTAATCGTGAATATATGTACAGACGTATGTAGATTTCTAACGCAGAAAGTCACTATCTACTACTTTTGTTGTTTTGTTGTTTGAGATCGTAATCGCGGATCTATCGAGGCAGTTGAAGCTACGATAGGTGCTGGTGCAACTCCATTGACATTGACGATGTTCGTATTTGTAAAAATGGTACTCTCTACGAATTTCGCTAATAGTCTGTCTGTAAAGCGTTGTTGTTGATTTTGCAGTAGCGGTACTACCAAGCCCCGCCTAATCGGTTAGTCCATCCATCGTTGTCGTCAACTAACTGTAGGCCCCAGGAAACCTGTTGGTTCCATTGGGGTTTAACCAAAGGGATGTGTGTTAGTTAGCTAAGCGATTTTAAATGGGTAGGCACCGAGGTAGTTGGTGTCGCGAGGAGAATCCTCGTTGTCTGCTTTTGGGTGGGCGTGGGCTTCAATAACCGCATTCATGGGGCGAGAGTCACTGAAGGTGGTAACGGACACTCTCTGAATGTCGCTAATGGCTTGTCTGGATGCCGTCTGGTGACTTTACGCCATTCTGACACTAAGACTAAGGATTAGGTCGCGCGCCCTAGCTGGGATCATTCATGTCTCACTTTGCAGATGGTGTTTAGGCGATTTCACCACACCGGCAGCGAAAAGTCATAGAAGAAACGATTTTTCTAGTGAAAACTCCGAGAAATAGGTCGAGAGTAAATAATACCACCCTCTCGCCTGGGAGACTTGGTACAAAATTGGGGGCGTTTGCTAAAGAAATTTTGATGAAGGCATTACATAGCTCGGCCTCTCGCTCATCCGCTCAGTAGTATTTGATTCTGAACTCGCATAAATTTTTAAAGACTACCTTCGAAAGGGACTTACGACAATCTTTTTGTTCAGTTTTTCGGCCAGAAATCGACAGTGATGGCCCCCATCAGAAAAGGCAAACAACTTGATTGACTAAAGCGGCACATAAATCACTGATAAATAGTACAAACCGAGTGAACAAATTCGGAATTCAATGTATAATGTATACTAGTCGGGTCAGTTTGTATGTGAGATTTTCTCGACTATGCGCGTAATTATATCACAGAAGGATTCTACGAGCAATTCTAAGCTAATTTGCCAAAGGAACCATGGGTCTAAAATAAATTTGATCGCTTAACGAAAAATTTGCATGTGAAAACAACAACGAAGTTAGCTAGCAAGGATGGACGATAGCGAGTTTGGTTGTACCTCATTGAGTTCGTTCGTTTCGCTACTCGCCAAGGATGAACTTAACTAAACAGAGAAGTGGCGGATCGAAGGCGGCTTACGGCTTACGAAACTTTTGCTTGAAACCTTTTTCTTGGAAGTGCCTTTTTCGACATCTAAACGATCTTCGAAGTTCAACTCGTACCGGACTTCTAAACTGGAGGATGGGTTGCACAGACAGGGAGTCCATTCTTTAAATCGGAAGTCCATTTCAGAAAAAAGTTTTCCGATAGTTACGTAATTTTGTTCGCAGAATCCGAAACTATTTTAAAAACATGTATATCCAATTTAAAAAGATGGACTTTCGGTCTGTTTTAGCCGTTTCCGGTCGAAACCGGAAGTCAGAAATACGACAAAAATATAGAGCATCCTCGATTCGGTACTACCTATTTTTGCGTTTTCCAAATAACATTTTTCTTTATTTTAGGAGGGGTGAAGGGTTTACGCGTTGGCGACGGCGAGTACCGCAGACGATGGAACGATGAGCTGTATGAGCTTTACAACGATATGGACATAGTGCAGCGAATCAAAATACAGCGGCTCCACTGGCTTCGTCATGTCGTTCGAATGGACACCGACGCTCCAGCTCTGAAAGTATTCAACTCGGAACCCGCTGGTGGTAGCAGAGGAAGAGGGAGGCCCCCACTGCGATGGAAAGATCAGGTGGAGAAGGACTTGGCTTCACTTGGCGTTTCCAATTGGCGTCAGTTGGCACAAAGGAGAAACGACTGGCGTGCTTTGCTGAACTCGGCTAAAATCGCTTAGGCGGTTACAGCGCCAAAAAAGAAGAAGAAGGGTCTAGGAACCACTTATATATATGAGCATTTGGTCCTTTTATGCAAATCTAGTGTAAATACTATTTCTACTCACTTGTCTAGAATAGTTTTGGCATCTTTAATACGATCATACGTTTCCAATTCTATGAGCGCACGTGGGTATGCATTACAATAGGTTGAGTAGCAGAGGAATCCCTTATGCTGCAAGAAAAATAAAATTAGAAATCAAATATGGTATGAACATTATAGACTCCTCATAAATAAACTAGATAGATAACAGAGGTATGCACTGCGACTGAGAGATCTATTGTGGCCCATAAATAGGATAGTAATATTTTTTTTTTTTATTATAACTTAAGTCAACAAGTATATTTTGCTCCAACTGAAATACAAGTACAATGGTTTATTTTAGGGCCGTTTTCACGGTCCAGGGTTAAGTCACATTCTACGGATAGCTTAACATTTTTGTACTGAAAATCTACATATGCACCTATAGTTAACTGCCCCGTGCTCAGTAATTGAAAACGTTAACTTACCATTTTCAGGAAAACTTTAGCGACTTGATTCTGCTCGATGCCTTTGCGCAAGGCCTCTAGAAATTTCCGTTGGAACTTATAGATCGCTGTGATGTTTGAGAAAATCAAACGAATACTATTCGGCGAAAAAATATCAATACGCTTGCTCATTGCGGGCAGATAGCTGCAAATGGAAAGATTGAATGTGAATTAGTTAAATAAAATAATGGCCTCAACGAAAAAAAAAACAATTTTTATTAATTTCTTACCCCTCGCATATGGCGGCCAACAGTTTCACATAGTTAACCTCTGTGTCGAGCAACTCTTTAACCGCGCTGCGTCGCAACATTTCCGCACTGTCGAGTATCACATTTATGCTACGCGACGGTGCCAGGGCATTTGATGCATCCCCACTTCCGCAAACACCACCACCACCACCGCTTGAACCACTTGGTGGCAGGCTGGCATACGAGGGCGATTCAATCACAATAGTTGTTACATTATTCTCATCGACAATAGTCGCATCTAAGTCACAAGCAACCTCCGAAGCTATATCAGAGGCAGTCATTGTTGGCGGCAGCGCCGGTGGGGCTGTAGCAGAGTGGAACGCAGTTTGTGATTTTGTAGCAAATTTCTTGAAACTGCTACGTTTTGTTGTTGTCGCTGGTTGTTGTTGCATTTGGGCAGACGTCGCGACATTTGCCATTTGCGAAAGGAAAAACACATCTGTCTTGGGGCATTGTATGACGCGCACAAATTCCTTGGGAAACCAACCGAGTTCGGGATCAAGTATCTCTTCGACCAGTGTGTTATTTTCCTCTTTCCGTATGCGTCCAAGCCACCAGGGACCGACCTCTTTGCGTAGTATTTCGATTAATGTGCCACGCTCCAGGCCGAGTTCTTGGGGACCAGCGGCGGTGAAGCTGTACAGCACTTCAGCGTAAATCGGGTAGTAGTTGGGTGCTGCAAGAGAGAGAGAGAGAGATGATAGAGATATGTAAGTATGTACATTAGGGCGGAGTAATTTGTTCGGAGACATCTTTTCGAAAAAAGTTATAACAAATTCGTATTCTACGATTAATTCTAAGCAAAAATGGCGAACACACTACTATATATTAAAAATGACGTTTGACCCAATTTTCGAAAGAAATAGTAGTATATTTTATGAAGAAAACACAAAATTTTATAAATGAAAAATTAGATTCGTTCATAAATAATTAAACTGATTATTCTTTTAAAAATTGGGAGGGTCAAACGTCGTTTTTGGCATACAGTTTGTTCACCATTTTTGCTTAGAATCGAGCGTAGAACTCGTATATGCCATACACTTTTTACGAAATTAAATTACTCCGCCCTAATGTACATATACTGAAAGTATATGGCAGACAACAATTAAAATGCAGACAGCCAAAGGAGTACTCTACATTAATTGAATTTAATTGCGCTACACTATGTCAAAGCAGCCGCAAAGTGTACTGCAATAGGATTTACTCGTAATTTCAAAACTCGCGCCCAACTTACCTTCCTCATGTGATGTTACGCTATCACTGTCGCTGTCATCCAAATCTAAAATTATAAAACGCATTAAATACAATCAAGTTCACTCAAAGAGTTGCTTATTTAATTTGTCTTACCGCCAACTCGGCCAATGCCGCAAGTATCCAAGCCATTGGGTTGACTTAATGAGCGCGCGGGTAGTGATTCGGGCGCTTCACGTTCCATGCTTCCACCATGAATTTCCACGCGTTTGAGTATTTTTGCTTTCCCATTAAGTGCCGCTGTCGCCGATTGATCCGTGATGCTGGTCGCTTTGGCCGAATTAACACGACGCACAGATCGCATTTTCACTGTGACCTTGAAAGGAAAATCCAGTTAATTAAATGCCAATTAAAGTACGATGCACGAAAGTGAACTAACCAGTGGCTTAGTTATTTAAATGTAGGCTTATAGTAAAGGGGCAAATATAATCAAATTCTCTGTACACAGGAGTTTATATACATACATACATACATATGTACATATCGACGGCTGTGTGGAAGATCGACCTATCCCGAAGAACGCCCTATTTCAGGATTCGCTTCAAAAACGCCCTATCTCAGATACCGATTTTCAATAAAAATCAACAACAAAACAATAAAAATCTAGGACGTTGCACCACGTTGGATTTTGTATTCTAGCAGCTGAAGGAACGTATACTAAAAATTTCAGACATGTGCTCACAAAAAAAATTTCACAAAAAAATTCGAAGTTTGTGAGAATCGCCCATATAGAAAAGTAATGTCTCAGTTTTAATTGATTTAAATGCAAATACAAAGTTATACATTTATTTTTGGGGTCCGAAGAATCTGAATTTGCAGTTTATTTTTTACCAAAAAACGGCCGCTGTTGTGCACTTTCATGTAAAAAACCTAGTTGCAACATGAAGGAAAAGTGCAAACAATGTTTCTCAACAATGTTGCTAAGCAATGTTTCATCATGTTCTATTGCATGAAAGCGTAACAAAAAGCACCCAGCGGACGTTTTTGGTAAAACTAAATTGCAAATTCAGATTCCTCGGACCCCAAAGCCTTTTGATGTTATAAATATTTGCATTTAAATAAATTTTAATGGTTTTAATGTTGCTTTGTGAACACCAACTTCAATTGAAAAAAAACGCTTGAAATCGCCAAATTGGGAAAACTGAGAAATTACTTTTCTAATTACAATCCAGACTTTCAGAAAAACTCGGTTTCATCTATTCCCCAGCCGACTGCCGAACAGTTTTATGAAGTAGAATATAGAGAACGAAAATCGGCAAATCCAAGGAATCTAATAGGTTCTTGTAAACCATGAGGAAGTTATTACACAACTGTACTTTCAGTTGAGTTGAATAACAGACGATAATTAATATTGTCCGAAATTGCCTGTAATACCTCTTTTTTATTATTCCCAATGCACACTCGCATGGTCTGCTGTTCCCATGAGAACCGTATCTGGAATTCGTACTCCAAGTCCGAGTACTACTTTATTCCAAAACCCTAACCTTAAGTACATATCGTCGCTACCATGTCAACCTATCGAATGTGAAAATAAGTATTTTCCAGGAGCGCAAAAAAAAACTGTTGTAAAAAATGATGTTGTCATTACGAAGAAGTGTGGGATTCGACACTTTCTTAATCTTTAGGATTTGCCAACTTGCGCATCATTCTAAACGTAAGCATTCGACAGTTTGACATGGTAGCGACGATATGTACATACATACATATGTTACATAAGTCCTAATTAGGGAAAATAAGTAATCACATACCTTCTCATTTGTGCCGCGTTGATTTGCTGCTGCCGCACTCGTACTAGCCGTCTTGTTGTCGCCTTCACAATTCGCAGTCACCAAAATGCGAGAGAATTGCTCGTCATTATCCAGCTCGATTTGTATACCAGAATCACCGCTATTACACTTATCACGTCGATTGTACTTGGTCTTGCGACGCTCCTTTGATGAACGCCAAATGAGTGGTCCAAAGCGGTATTTGCTTGCACTACCCTCCATTACGGCGATATTTGAAGTGGTCTCTGATGGATTTTCTATTGTCAACGAATTGCTTCCACCATTACTAGCTCCACTAATATTTGCGGCTGTTGCGGAAGATGCGGTTGCTGCATTGCTCAATACAAGCGCTTGTGTGCTGCTACTACTTGCAATCTGTTGTGGTTGCTGCTGCTGCTGCTGTTGCGCTGGTTTATTGAAATTTGTAAGCGTGCGTTTGAATTTCTGCAGCACACCTACGCTTTGACTATTCGACAGACTCAATGGCCTACTGTTGCTATGGCTGCCGCTGCTTCTGCTGCTGCTGCTGCTGTTTTTAGTTGTTGCGGTGACCATGGTTGATGTAGATTCACCGGAAACTGAGATCGAATTAAAATCCTTTAATTCGGTTTGAGCAGCATTGCTGGCGGAAGTGTCGTTTTCTTCCTCCTGCAAAGCATCTGTGAGCGATGGACTAGAAACCGCACGCATTTGTTGCGCCTGCAATGATAAATGGATGAAAATAATAGGTGAGTCACATAATTAGGTTAAATATGGTACATATTTACATACATATGTTCATTGAACTACCTTCGTATAAGCTAACAAAAATAACATTTGTGCAAAGGAATTTCGTAATATTTTATAAGTTTTCGTGGACTTTAATTTACTGACATTAGGGTGGTACGTGGAGGATGGTTTCGGGCGCAGAAGTCCACTTAAGTAGAAACGCCTTTTGACTGCCATTCACCTGGGAGTGGCCAAAAGTGATTCTTTTACGTACGCAGCTTGGGTGCCGCCACGTTAAAACGTATCCCAATGAAAACTAAAAATGTGCCTCGGATGAGACCTCCATCTTTTGAAGACGACCACGGTAAACGTGCAAAGAACTGTGATTTGAGGGTATGCACCAGGAATATCCGGGTCCTTAATGGGGAAGGTGCCTCTGCCTTTCTGGTTAATGTCCTCGCTATCCAAGAAATGCGATGTACGGGGCAAGACAAGGAAAAAGTGGAGCCTTGGGATGTCTACTACAGCTGCCACGTAAAGGAGCGGAAATTAAGTGTTTGATTTGTGGTGGGGGAGAGACTCCATCGCGGAGTACTGTCGTTCCCCCCGGTCTAGCCACAATCCGTATTAAAGCGCGATTCTTCAACATCTCTCTTATCTGCGTCCATGCCCCGATGGAAGAGAAGCACGATACATCCAAGAATCTCTTCTATGAGCGCAAACCTACGGGCGCTGCCCCGACATGATACCAAAATCGTGCTTGGCGATTTCAATGCCAAGGTGGGCAAGGAAGGGATCTGTGGTGCCACTGCCAGAAAATTCAGCCTCATCGAGGAAACGTCCGATAACAGGACAGGGGCTGATTGACTTTGGCGGTGCCCCAAACATGGTAACATGTAGTGCTAAGTTGCAGCATAGAAAAATCCATCAAGCTGCAGCACTGTTTCCAGATTCAAAAACGAGAAACCAAATCAATCATCTTGTGGTAGACGAAAAGTACGTTACCGGACCACTATCTTCTTGTAGCCAAGATACGCACCCGCCTATGAGGAGCAAAAAATGTGCACCTAACAATGCAAGGAAATCTCAACCTCGAAAGGCTTGTACTTAAATTAAGAAGGGAACACTTTTCCACCACCTAAAGAGCTCGGCCAAGCACTAGCAAATGTTTAATGGCCAAACATTTTTAAAATTTATATTGTACCAAACTGGTACTTTTAAAATGAGTTGGTACGTTGATTTAGATTTTGGTACGTTTTCCTTAAAAGCGACAGTTAGGGAAACAATATTAATTATTTCCATCTATATTTTAGATTTTTCTATATTCTGTATTTACTCGTCAATTAAAAGTCCCATAATTTAAATGAGAGCCTCAATACAATTATTCGTCAATACGTGAAAGTTTTCGCAAAGTCAGATTCTAAATTTTCTAACAGTTCCTTTTTTCCTCCTATTCGGCTTTGTTTACTTGTACTTGGGAAATGTCAGTGCCGTCGGGAATACGCAATTTGATATTCTATAATTCTTGGGTGGCGCCGTCAATGCTATCATAACTTTGGTCTCGTCAGATCATATATTTTAGTGCTTTGACGGTTTCTTTTATCCCCCCATTCGGCTTTGTTTGCTTTTACTTGAGAAATGTCATCGCCGATAGGACTTTTCAATGAGTGAATATGTATGTGTATGTGTGCAACAAATTTGTAGTTTGTAAACACACTTGACCACGTTCAGCATTTAAGGGCTACAAAACTGCTCAAACTCTCAAAAAAAATCTAAAAAATCTGATTAAAAAATTGGAAATTTGCATGCAAATTTATTAAATTTTCCTGAGTTTTGAACAGAGTTTAGAAATTACATTTTTATTTCTTTGGTATAGTATGAACTATGTATATTTTTATAAAAAATTGCAAAAAAAAAATAAAATAAAAATTATTGTATATCGCCAGTATGACAAATTCTCTGCGTGAAAAAAATATTTTTTAATCTAATGAAATTAATTTATGCTAAAAACTTTTTTCTTCTTTATTGAAAAATAATAAGTTAGAAGAAAGGAAGTCTTTTTGGTACTCTCAAAACCGTTTTGGTACGTGTTTTGATAGGGGGAAAAATATGTGAGTGGCAACACTGCCTCCAATTTAACTTTTGACGAAGATGTTAGAATTGGTGTTCTTAATGTAAGTAAGGAACAGTAACTATATATAAATTAATATATCGGAATTGCATTTTGCTTCTTTTGCCACTAGCGAGAAAGAGATCTATGCATATCTAAAACAAACACAAACCAAAGATATAATTTTTTCTTCAGGCCTTCTCTGCCGGGTATGCGGAAAACCTTTTTGCTTATCAAATGTAAAGTAATAAATACTAGAAAAATTAATATGCGCCACACTTCATAGATAGGCATATGTACATATGCAAATATAAAAAAATAATGTCAAAGACCTTCAAAAGTAAATGTTCTTTAGCAGCTATGCGGGTTCAGACATAAATAAAATAAAAACGCTAATGAGCAGAGTTCTAAACAAATTAAAACATGAAGATTGGTTTACGAAAAACTTGAATAACTGTTTCAAAAATGTTGTGATTTAGACATATGGGATCTTAGTAGAAAGGTGTTTTCACACTTTTTATTTCTGGCCAAAAAACGTCATTCGTGTCCCATTTTGTTTTTTCGAATACCAACACATCTTAATTCAACTTTGAATGACGTTCGTTCATCTTACCTTTCTCTTCCATCCTTTGAATGAGTTTATTAGCAAAGAAATAAAAAGGGTGAGAAAATACCTTTCCAATGACACCTCTTAAGCCTAAATCGGAAGAGCTTAGGTTCAGTTATTCAAGTTTTTTCTATACCAATCTTTGAAAAAAGTTAAAAAACAGCATCAAAAATCTCATCATTACGATTCCGTTCAAAATTTTTTTTAAATTTGTTTTAATATTTTTATGCAAGTATTTTAAGCTTAAACCGGTTTGTCATTTGAGGGGATTTTTTCAAAAAAAATCTTTAAGAAAATATTTTTATTCATAAAAAACTCGATTTTTGGAGGTATTTTCAAATCGGTCCAGCTCACTTAAATCTTAATATTTTTCCGAAAGATTTTGGTGGACGTCTTAAAATATAATAGATTTTATAATTCCAATGGAAAAATAGTACCGATTTTTTTTTGTATGGGGAGTGATGCAGTCTAATGTACATACATACATATGTAGATCCATATGTATGTTTATATCTAACATGTGCGTACTTATGAGAATCCCTTTCGAACAAAGAACGATAGAACATGATTGATAGCTGTTCATCTGATCGACATGTGGAAAACAGTAACCCTACAAATGATA